GTGAAATCAATTAACGTTTAGTGAAAGCCAGAGCGGCTTATGCCAATCTGGGCCACCATTGGCGCCGTTGTGATGTTAGCCTGGCTGTAAAAGGTCGGATCTACAATGCGTCGGTGAGAGTAGTTTTGCCCTATGCTCGTGAAGCCTGTCCTTTTCGAGTTCAGGATGTTAGACGACTCTGTGTTTGATTATCATTGTCTTCAAAGGATTGCAGACATCCAGTGGCAACACCACGCTGGTATTGCGGAGGTTCAGCATCGCGTGCTCGGGCACAGAGAAGATAATTCAATTGGTGCCACTATCTTGAAACACCGACTTCAGTAGCTTGGACATATTCTACGAATGTCGTCCCAGAAAATTCCACGTTGTGCATTATTTGCCGACGCTGGGACTGGTTGGAAAAAGCGGAGAGATGTCAGTGTATGACATATTGTCGTGGTATGAAAGAAAGCTGCACAGGACTGGCATCTGTTGATCCTTCACGACTACCTGGTTGCTGTCCTAGAGATGGTGTAACACAGTCGCTAGAGACGTTACCAGATATGGCTTGAAATAAAGCCATTGACGATGTTGCTGTTATCTTCTTTTACTTTACCTCTTTAAGTGGAAGAGTCCTTTGGGGCTGTACTTTTGCTAATTGAACTGTCCCTCCCACTATTGGTATTTTACTATCAAACACTAATTTCTGTTCATTGTTGTACTTCTTATACGCACCTTACATTCTTTATCTCTTCCCATTCTCATTATTGTTGTGTGGCGTATATATATCTGATGCCCCTTTGTACCAATATTAATGTGTTCAAATAAATATATAAGAGTAGCAAAGTTAGTGATAGTATCAATGGTTGCAGAAGAAACAAAACATAAACAATGTAAGTGGAGAAAAGGGATAATTTTAAAGCTCATGAGGATGTAGGGAGCGAATAAAGAATTCTGAACAATGCCACTCAATGTCTCCAACAGTTGTTTACAATGATCATACAGGCCAGGTAGCCTGTACCTACCTACATGGCTCAGTCCAGTTGTCAATGACTTTATGGACTGGTGTCATATCTTGACTTGGTCACTTTTAACTTCTTTCCAACCTACTCCTACACTGGAAGACATCATTTGTCGAGGTGAGCGGTGGTTGAAGATACGTAAAATGTCTCAACTACCTCAGCTGATGACGATTTACTACCTCATCAGCCTATTGTCATATCTACCTAGCACGCTATGCCTAGCCTCGGCATTACTCACTCGGTGGTCTCAAAATACGCGAGAGAAAACCTATTGATAGGCTTTATGGAAGAAATTCGATTACTGATGTTAGCTCGAAAACTCTATCAAACAACCTTAAACTACTAACAAGTAGTTCGATACTTGTGCATAAAATACTAGGTATGCAAAAGTTGGGAATAGTCACTAATGTGAAACAACCACAATCTACGAGGCAACTTGATATTCGGGATTTTCAAAATACTTTAGGGTAAAGTAATTTTGAAACACTCATTCGAAATAGGAACTTACACGGCCACTATCTCGGATCAGTCTTACCTTACTGGGTTGTATTTATTCAACTATCATTCAAAGATTTTGTAATGCTGATGACATGGGCATAATAAAAAAGAGCTTGGCAAAAATTTCTGTCGGCTAAACTTGGCATACCAGATTAGAATTCCAGGATGAAAAACTTAAGAGGTTAAAGAAATGTAGCAGAAGTGCTGATATGTGACTACTGTATCCCAACAACCAGCCTGGACATCCACCACTTATTTTCAGTTCATAACTAGGTCTCGAGGTTATATTAGTCACCAGACGTAGCCTCCCGAGTTGATTTTGTTCCAGACAGTTACACAGGTGTGGCACTGGGACAGTGTGGGAACAATAGGAAATGGAGGGAGGATAAGGTGACTAAAGAGCCTGACTTTTATGACTTATACGGATGTTTTGAACAATGAAGATTAACATTTTGTCACAAACAGGCAGTATTTCTAAAAGATAGGATTGATAAATCCAAAGACTTAGACATCAGTTCCGGTATTTTCTGGACAGAATAGGTACTACACTACACGAAAATTCAAACGACAAGGGAAAGGTCACAATACTTAAGACTCCACATTTGCACCAACAGAAACCAACAAACTAACATCCGCAATGTCACGCCAAAATTAGCAAGAACCCTAGATACATAATAACTCAGATACAACAAGTGATATATGAAGCTCCTGATTTTGTCCGTCAAAATTCGATCCTAAATCATCAAAGAAAAGTGAATAGGCTAAGAAACGATTATATCATTTTATTTTTAACACATACCCACTTTAGTGGTCGAGTCACACTACAATTCAAAACTTGTAGAACCACTACAAAATCTCACTTAAACCTCCAGCTACTATCTAAATTGAGAACACTTTTAAGTAGTTATAGAAGTGAAGCTATAATTTATGGACGACATTGAACGACGCTAAAGTGACTTTGGGAATGTCCACTTACTAGGGCCAAATGATGGTTATAAAGCAGTATGAAAAGTAAGAATTATGATTTACATTTGATATCAGCTAAAATGACAGGACACTATTTAGACAATTTGATGAATGAATCTCACACCGAAATCCGAGACCTGACATCCTAAATTTGACTGGTTTGTCCATAAATTATAGTCTCGCCGTTATAGATACTGTGTTAGTTTATTATGCTGGGAAAAATTTAAGATAGCTCGGACAAGTAAAGTTATCCAAGTTGGCGATATACTACATAAACTCAAACTATTAAAGCCATGCAACACATTTATGGCCTTACAACTACAATAATCTATAACTAAACAATGTCATCAAATTTCCATGTTTGAGGTTTTTGAAAAAACCATATATTCTTATATATTTTTATGAACAGCAGTTTTGTCGACCAGTGACCAATCGCTTGAATGAAACCGCATAAGCCAGAAGATGATAAGAACTAGCAATTAGAAGAAAGTATTGTGATATATTTATTGAGTATTTTTGCTTTTCGATTCTTTGAAAGGAACATCTGAAGGCCCATACTAAAAAGGATGTTAAAAGGAAAACCATTTACCTTGTCCCATAATGTCTTAAGGTCCCTTTTCATAGCGTAGGCATCCTCACCATCGGCGTAATATTTAGGTTCTATATCTGATACTCTGGAAAGATTGCTCAGAAACAAAGTAGGAATTACACAAAGTGTAGAGTTTTTTTGTAGAGAGTAAGTGCAGCCCTATTACTCTTCCGAACGTGAAGAGAGACATATCTAGCGTGAAAATTTTCTACCATAGCTCTTGATGCCAGATTCATCAGCGTTTGAGCAATCCCTAATCGCCGATATGGCCGTTTGACCGCCAAAGAAGTAATATGTCCATAAGGGACGTCTTCTGGATCTTCTTCCCTATCCAAAGTTAATGTACAACGACTTCTTACATTTTTGCCAAGACATAGCCCACAATCTCCCCACTATCTGTTTCTGCTACATATGATAATTGTGGCCAAGATAAACCATGATAAAAATAGTACTTCATTTGATAGTTTTCCGGCAAGCAATCTAGATTGCAATCTCTCATGTTTAGCAAGTCGGTTGGCTAGGGAATAAATATAAATTGAAATTACATCCTACTCTAGCATTCCTAACATTCATCTTCACGAAGTAACGTGACCTACAAATCAAGAACAGCGGCACTATAAGGCCTTACAGGTGCTATCAACTAAGTAGAAATATTAGTCTTTATTCACATTAAATATATCATCCTATCTTCAGCTTAAATGTGTTCTTAAGAAACACAAAGTATCATATTTGTTAACTGTTACGATACGATAAGTCAGTGTAGACAGTAATGTGACTTCTACATACGATCGTGTAGATTAGGTAGTCACATGATGACAAATATACGCTTTTGGGAATAGGTCTATTATTATACTAATACCAATAACGAAGCAGACCATAGTTCAACAACTTAGCGAATGTGGGAGCATCTTGCTAAACGGTGTTGCGGAGATTGAAGCCCGTCCCCTTGGTACAACAGAATGGAACACATCTGGGTCTGGAGGAGAGTCCCTGTCTATAAGCTTCGGTTTTCGATGCGCCAAGTTATCGCTCAGGTTCACTTCTGAGTGTCCTGTCGAGTTTTAGGTAAAACTCTCGTCGATATGGTAAGTATTGAATGGTTGGAATGTTTCAAAACACTGTTCTTTCAGGAGCTCAGCAGCGTCACAATAGTTGTTGGCTGGACCATTAGGATCCAGCAGTTGGAGAACTCTGGTTTTGGCATGCCAAAGGAGGGGGGCTGCAAGACGAAACAAACTCTTTGGATTATAGACCAATTTACTGACTAGCTTGACATAAAACTGAAGTCTTTCTTCACTAAGCGTCTTCGTGAATTGATTTCTTGCTTGCTTGAATTACTTTTATGCGTTGCTTTAACTGGTTCGTTTGTGTTTCTTACAGTAGTACCTCCTAAGTTTCAGCATTCGGAAATTACCACTCCTCCTTATAACCATACGTTCATTGTAACTTTTGAGGACCGTTTGTAAGACAGATTGCTTTTTAGCACGTAAGATCGTGTTCAGTTAAAATGTCTAGTGAGCGTCCACATCAAGCTAAGGGTAGACTTCTCAACAGACGTTCTGTACGTTTTTCCACAAAGCTGACGTTGTAACATGTGAAATTTCAGTGCATGTTTCTAGTAGAATGTTTTAACTTGATCTTGACGATAAAATTAAAGGTTATGACGACATGATCACGTCTTTCCATGGGTGGGGCGGGATTGAGAGGTTGTTAACTAGGAACTCCTCGTTCGTAAATATTTAGTCTAAGCGTGACGGCTTCCGACTGTTTCTCAAGGGAATTATTGTGTACACATTTTCGAATGATCTCAAATCTTCATTGAGATTAAAGAACCGATCCTCAGTAGACTTGTCACCTCTAATGTACGAGTGTTCAGCAAAGTTGACATTGGGTAGATGGATGCTTCCTAGAATCAGGATATGAGGGCATCTGACGCAAATAGAGCGAGATAATCTTTGTAGCATCCGACTGCGGTACTCGGTGTCAGCAGTGGGTTCCCTATAGGTGACTCCAACAAGACGTCTCGACGCGTCAGCCAATTTCACTGAGCACCATACAGACTCATGGAGACCGGATATTGTCAGCTCCTAGCTCGTAATTTACGAGGATGCCCACGTTTTAGTTAAAAGGACTATCTTCATTAGCAAGGGTCTAGGGTCCCCATCCTTCTTGGCTAATCGCACCACTTGTTGAATCATTATGTTCTCAGGCTTCAGGGACTGCTTTATAAACTTCCACGCTAGGGAGTCATAGTCTTATTAGTCATGGTCCATGTTTCCTGTAACACCCTGCACAGCGATATTTCTACGACAAAAGAACGTCTTTCCAAGTCACTTGAGGATGTTCCCGATGGGACCGCACTCAAAATATGGTATGTCAGGCAGTATTCTTAAATCCCCTTCTGATTCCAGCAAGTGACTGACCATCAGAACGCCCTTTACGTCTAAGCCATGTAACCGCCACTAGCTCGATTTCGAGAAGTTTGAGTTATCTGTTTGACTCGTATGAGATCGTCCTATCTTTTTTGTCTTGCAGGTTGAGAGGAAGATTAGAGCTGTCTTTAAGGTTAATGGTTATGAGAGAATAACCTCATAACATGACCATTTTCGCAGATGATCTTTTTATTTGACAGTCGGACTGCGTTTCGAATTCCTGTGCTCCTTGCTGATTAGTCGGAACATCATAGTGGTAGATTGCACAGCAAAATCACTAGTTGCTTTTCCTACATGACCTGGGATGTTCATTTTTTTTCGACAGAGACACTCGATCCATTCTAACCTTGTTGATGGAAGTCTGCTAGCCTACAGAACTTTCGAGGACTACAGTTGCATTTAGAGTGCCCGTGCTGAGGGACACAAATTTCCCGACACAGTCTAACACCGTTGATGTAATGGTAGGGCTGAGTTTCGGTATAACTCACTAGTGTCAATGCTTGTTCCGTTGATACTCATGTTGTCGAAGGTCCTCTTATTTAATTCGTTTGTTCACCTGTTTCAGGACTGTTTTCTTCCCGGGGTTTCTGACAATTTTTTTCGCAGGCCTGTTATATGAATGGTGATATTGCTCAGCAATCCTCAGCGATCATGTTGCAATCGACACATACCTACCTGCTATTTGACTTACTAAGTATGTTGTAAGCAGTTACTACGCTTCATGAAAGCAACCTTTGCATTTGTCACACTGCGTGCACAGGTGACAGCAAAATGGCATCCAGGTCGCTTACATTAGTTCGTCACGATTATGGTGAAATATGAGTAGTTAGACGGATTCTAGAAGTCTACGATCGTAAAACAAAAAACGAAAAAATCAAAAGGGGGAAAGCTGATAAGACAGGCAGTAAAAAGGTTGGAATATATTAAAACTGGCCTCAAAGTGGAAAACTCGTAGGCTGGAGAGTAAACCGGAGCGAAACTAAGGTTAACTATTAAAGTAATCTGTCAAAGGTTAAGCTGCAGATAGATTATTTGGGTCAAAAATGATGCTTTTTATGCGTAAGGAAACAGCAGGAGTTTGAGGAATGCAAATCAAGTTAGGACTAATCTTCACGTTCGTAAATTCAGCGAGCTCCTGATATTTATCTGAGGAAGAAGAGGAGACGGAATTCACTGCTCACATTTTCGCCTTTAAGCCAGAAAAATGAAAATTTATGTAGTTCCTTTTCTGTGTCTTCATTTCAAAACATTTTGATGTCATTAGCATTAAGTAACATTACAGACTTGATGATATGTAACACGTTTTTAACCCAACATACTCTGTTAAATGTTGATTTTCAAGGGAAAGCATTTACATAAAACGTTGTTTTTATTCTCTGACCAACTGGCAAGTTTTTTACACATCTGAATAGGTATTTAGAATCTGAATGTCTTCAGCCGCAGCAGTAACATACCGAGTAAAAAATGTCGTAGGTCTTTTCCTTTAATTATCCAACAAAATATATTCGACCTTTCCATTGATGGATAAATGTCTGTCATCCAAAAGCGATCTTTCTATAAGAGTGTTAAGTACTGTCTGACAAGCGATAAATTTCAGGATAGTTCCAGTGGCTTCATCCATAAATATCCTAACCTGAGCTAAAGGAGGTGGTTACACGTCGTTTATATTTAGGCACTGCCGTTGATATATATTTGACGTTGTCACGTCAACTAAGTGTGTTCTAGGCTGGAATAAATTGTCAAGATGTCCAAGCAGTAATGATAGAAGGCACGACAACTCGAAAGGGTTGTAAAATATATCCGCGGAGTAGCCTGCTATGTTTGGCTATAAGGTCGTGAATATTTACACAAAGATAGGTTAATAAAAGGATTTCGTGCTTTAAAAAGTACTTGAATGTCTGTTGAATTATGGTCTAGTCTGATATAAGTGCATTCATCTTTGCTTTTATATTACTGGAACCAATACCAAAGTTGCAGACTTGTCATGATGTGACCAACTAATATATAAAGTCTTACATGTAGTTCACATCATTGTATTTACTGACGTGTTATGTAGTGATGATCAGCAATCTGACACTAAAATCTCTTGAAGAACACATTTGGGCTGTAAAGAGAGCAATATGTTTGGTGTGAAAACCAAGAGACTACACAGAGTGACTACGTTTAGATGGTTGAGTCATGACATTTCCATTACTGTTCCTCGTTCACCATTTTTGGACCTCTCTTTAGTTTTAGACATTGAATGTAAATCTTCTCAGTAATTATATGTTCAGCTTCAAAGATCGTGTGGTTAGAAACTAATAGCACTACACTACTCTCCCACCAGACCCAACCCGACGGTGGTTCGATACCAAATGAAGTAGGGTTGCCCCGTACTGGAGGTAACCAAGATAATAACGGAAATCATCCAGATACGGATAAATCGAAAGATAACTAGAAAAGACTGTGACAATCGATCTAGAAATACATGTAATAAATTTAGACTTTTGCCACCCCCAAGTCTCTTATATTCTAGAAGGAACCCACCTACTGGCAAAGCCAAATGAAGCTGCTGAATGCTTGGCGAATTCTTACTACCAGATAGTAGCTACAAGTAGTGACTATATAAATCAGAGTAGAAATAAGAATACTGGCGAAACTACGACGCGTTAAGTTATGGGGTTTAAGTGGTAGTCAGTATTAATTCAATTATTTGTGCTACGATAATAATAGGTCTGGTCGAATATCGTAATATATATATATATATATATAATTTGAGAACTTATGTCGAGGTCATATCATTGTTTGAATTGAATCGTCCTGTCGTGACATCCAGTAGCATGCCATTTATGGACCTTTGAAGGACACATTTTGGCCGAAGATGGAATAATATATTTAATATCACGATCAAGAGATGATATGGAGTGACCATGTTTGAATGATCTACCTATACCATGTTCCCGCAATTACTTTACTGACATTCTCCAAGTGTTAAACATTTAATGTAAGCCTTCTCGGTTATTGTAATTTCAGCTACAGCGATTGTATTGATAGGAACAAACGGAACTACAAATTCTTAACACTATAACAGTGTACGTCAACTGTCTTGAGTATAATGCAGACATCCACAATAAGATTATAAATGCCAGTTTTTTTCAAGATGACATGAGATGCTGAACAATTCAATAGTGATAAACCCTGACAATAAAGAGTACATTTATATAAGCAGGGTAATTGTTCTAACTTCGAATTTGAAGTGAACAAATTTAAATTTCATTATGACATAAAAATAAAAAAAAATGGTTATAATTGATATGATGGAAAGAAAAGTCAATTTTCGATTGAATTACTCATTATGAGTTTTATTCAACATTGACATCCGTTTTGATTCAACGTGAAGATCAGTCAGTGTAGTGTTTGATTTGTTTTCCCAGTATGATATTTTCTTTTGTATAATATACCATATTCGTGTATTCACTTGACATGAAATATGCTCACAGTCTGCGATTTGTTATAACTGATTATGTGATTTAATCCTAATCATTAATCAAAATGGGTGTACAATCAATATATAAACCAATATATTTTAGACTATACTCGATTCGTCGTCGTCATAGTGTTTGAGGGGCTAATCAATCTTCACTTATACCAGTCTTTATGTTCTTACTTGCACATCGTGGGAATTGCCAAGTTCCCTCCTTCCGAGTATAAATGATCAGCGTTTTTTTTTTGCGGCACAACAATAACGACAACCGAATGTAACAATAATTGTATTTTTAATATATATAAAATAAATTGAATGAGTCGATCTAAAGAATGATCCATTTAAAAAGGATACAAATCAATGATACAGAAAACAAAACAAAAAAAACAATGATAAAAATATTCACATATAAAAGTAAAATAAAATAATCATTATGAAATTAATTCGTTCAAAATATCCCTTATCAACCATAACATACATTTCATATTATGACAGATAAAAAATTGGGACCCAAGTTATACAACAATTAATACCCATTTCATTCATTCATTTCATATTAAAAAGGATGTTGTTTTGGTTCAAGATACATACAATTGGTTATCATTAATTCTTGTTCTTGTTTTAAATTTTTTGAATTTTGATAAGTAATTTTATGAATTTGATTATCAATATAATCATTATTATTAATTATTTCATGATGATTTGTATATTTTGTTTCTATTGTCATATCTAATGTATCATATTCTAATTGACTATATGGTTCATATATAGATAATTGAGATTTACTTATTGGGATATTAGTAGTTGATTGTGTTTTTTCTTGTAAAAAACAATCAGGTATTTCATCATAAATTGTTGATTGATATTTTTCAGATTGTATTGGGATATTGTATCTGGGTATAAATGTTAATTTAGTGATAGATCTTTGTGGTGTTGGTGGAGTTTGATTACATAGAATAGTTGGTTCTTTACTTAAATTTGATGTGGTTGATTTTGTAGTAAATAGTACTTTGGAACTACATAAAAATGATAAATGGACTATATATATATATTGTATATATAACAATTTTTTTATGATTCAATTTCTCTTTATTATCATTTATAACTTCGCCCCTTTCTCATCCTATAACATATAAATATTACCAGAATGGGTTTTGTGGAGATTTTTAGAAATTTCACAGGTTGAAATCATGAGTCAATTGAAGCGACACCACCATGGAAAACACGGAAGCACTGGACGGCTGTTTCACCCTAGTATAGGACTCCTCAGCAGTGCGCATCCACGATCCCGCACCCCGCGGGATTCGAACCCAGGACCTATTAGTCAATCTTAATGATCATCCTGAATATGTAGTTTCTTTTTCTTGTTTCTTATATCTCTGAACTAAACTTTATTGATTGCAGTATATAAAAATTTCTGTAATTATACTATTAACGTAAAGTTAAGTTGTTTGTAGCTGATAATAAGCCTTTTAATATAATGAGTTCATGTTATTATGCAAATTTATTGTTCGCGCTTTATTTAGATTTATCAAGAAACTGGACTGTATGTATCGGTAATATATTAGCTAGCGGTGCGAATGTATAAAGGTTAATTAACTTTATTCTTTCCATGAATTTATTTTGCTTGATAAACTTAAGCAATAGTTGAATTCACGAGTCAGTTTAAGCTAAATCACCATAGAACACTTGAAAGCACTGGATGGTTATTTCATCCTAGTACAGGACTCCTTAATAATGTTCTAGCTTAGATCAACTCATGAATTCAACTATTGGAATGACTACAATCTTCATTCTAAAAATTTAAACAAAACAAAAATCTTTCTACTTAGTTGTATATAGGTTATTGAATTTAATTATTTCAAATTATTGACATACACGGAACGTTTTTTTAAAAAATACGGTGAGGCTATAATTTATGGACGACCTTTGAGCGACGCCAGACTAACCTTGACAGTGTTCACCTAATAACCAGGACCAAATAAAGGTTATAAACCTGTATGACGAATTAAAATTACGATTCACACTTGATGATTTAAGTTAGAAATTAGATTTAGGATTTTCATCATGAATTAACATAAATTATAATACCAAAACTCTATTTATCCAAATGACTGAGTGAATTTCATGTCAAAATTCGAGATTTGTTATCTTATACCTAATTGGTTCGTTCAGAAATTATAGTCTCACCAAAAAACAAGCAAACAAATGGATTATTCTCAGAAGGGGTTTTGTGGAGATTCTAGAAATTTCACTAGTTGAAATCATGAGTCAAATGAAGTTAGACCACCATGGAAAACCTGGAAACACTGGACGACCTTTTCGTCCTAGTATACGACTCCTTCCTGGCAGTGCACATCCACGACTTTGTGGATTGGTGGAAGTTAGACATTAACAACACCGTTGAATGCCGGCTCAGTGATCTAGTTGGTTAAGTGCTCGCGCGCGAAACCAGTAGGTCCTGAGGTTCAAATGGATTATTCATTAGAAAATAGTAAATGATATAGAATTATGTAATTGTAATTGCAATTTAAGTAATAACTATGTAACATTCAATAACAAACATGTAAATCATTTATATTATGTAATAATATGCATTGTCAAATGATTATGATTAGTGTATTTCAAATAGTGTACACCATTCATAATACACCTAGTTTTTTCTTTACAAAAAAAACAACAACAACAATATTATTATTATGACTGTTTATAAATGTATTATAGATCGTATTTGTAAAATATTGTACACTTCACCATTTCTGTTTACAGTTGAATTGTTCAGTATTCTAAAATTATATCAGTTATAGACAAGTAATACTGAAAACTTGTATTCGTATATATATAATATACATTCACTTTTGATCAATACTCTTATATAATATAAATAAACAATTATTCTATTTTTTTTATTTTTGAAAAATATTATTCATTAAATTCATTCGATATCTCATTAGTAGTCAAGTGTCTTTATCGAATTTGAATTAAGTTCTAACTAAAATATAGTTTTGATTCCATAGAGATAATTACACACCCAAGGTAAACACGTTGTATGTATGATAGGAATGAAATAAACTAAACGAAATTGGATGATCACTTTAAGACATTTATATTCGGTCTCAAGTTAGCAAACTCAGCTTGGAGCCCCTCTAGGGCTATTGTCGGTTCTAAGCTCGGATAAAGGAGAAGGGTTGGGCATGAGGTTAGCCACACCATCCCGTAGAAGACGAATTCACTATAAAAAAAACACTAACCAGAAAAAAATTATTTAGACCACTTAAACTCTGCCCTGGGAGTCAGAAGGCTTTCATTTAGAAGAATTATGATGTCTCATGTTGAAAGCTGAGTTCCTATGGAAGTCACGAGGCGGATGTTCTTTCTGATAATCAGCGCAACCATTTACTTAGATATATGGAATGCTCGTACAATGCATTAAATTAGAAGTCAAAGTAAGTGGATAAGTACATCACAAATATTTTATTTTCATCTGATTTAGTTTAGAAAAGATAGATTTTTACAGAGAAAGTATTTTGCGAGATCCCGATAAATTTTTCAACAACATCTGGATTTAATTGATTGTGTTTTACATTGTTGCTGAGAGATTTAATATTTTTGTGAAGAAACAAATATCTTAAAATTGTTATAGATCTTCTGAGAACTTAATTGAGTTTAACTCTATTTATATAGGCATAGGAAACTAAGATGAATGGTGACTTGGCATACGCTAAACATTACTCAACTACTATAGTTTACTGACGTTCAAAATAATATATCGATTCATTTGATTTTAATTTTAGAAGCTTTGCCTGAGATTTCTAACTCAGTTGCTTCAATAGTCGTTAAATGGATTAAATCAATTTCGGAGAGAATATATTTAAATCTTTCCCTCTTCATCTTCAGTATCTATTTGAAGTATAGCTAAGTGAGCAACTAAGAAAAGGACACAGGTTAGTGCACTTGATTTTCGGCAGCCTGAGATATATCACTTTGTTCCTGTGGTTAATTACAACATAAGAGAGCAATAGTTTGATATAGAAGTTGAAATTTGACTTTACCCTTTTTGATTTCGTGATATCCCAAAGATGCAATCACTTAAGAAGTATTGACAGGAACTCGTCGTGTAAATACCTTTTTTTGCTAAGTAAAGACTTCGTCAAAAGTATTGTGATTTTATTAATTTAAATTTTTATATTGTAGCAACTAGTGGTCAAAACTTCACCTTCGTATTAGAAACCATAATTAAGGAGATCTTAATGTGCAGCAAAACTCCTGACTTTGCTGAGATTTACTAGACTTCAAATCCTGACAATCTGAGGTAAAAAGGCTCTCTTCAGAAAAGATTAGGTTGATAGATGACTCATTGCTCTCATCGTGCTAGACAAATCTATCATTTTATTGTTGACCAATTTTTCATACCCTCCAAATGATTTTAGGGCTGAGTTGGTTTTCATATCTCTAAGTATTTTTTTTATGACTTGAAACTGATGCTTATGAAAGTCCCCTTATTTATTGTTTTTAAACTTTCTAAGTCGAAGTAATTGACATGTCGAGTGACAATCTACAACTAGACAACAATAAAGTAAACACACATGAATACAGGCGGTTAGACTGCCAGATATGAAGTGATTCACATCATCAAGTTGGTTTCATAAATAACATTGAATGTGCTCCTTTTATGTTAGAATGGTTATTGTTTAGTCACTTGGTAGACTTATAGACCTCGTCTATTTCACATTGTATGAACAAGTGTTTAAAAACTTTTCATTATGCATAAAATTTACTATTTTATCTTTTTTCTTGTCATTTAAACTTTATTATTTGTCAGTTGGTTAGGGATTGGATGATGAAGCTAAGAAGATAATTTTTCACTGAAAGTGTTTTCATTCACTGATTCGTTTTTGCGATAAGCATTCAAAGCTTTTCAGTAAACTTTAATTCTCAGTTATCGAATATCAACCATTTCTTCTGTACTACTCATTTTGAATTGTTGATGATACGACTGGAAATCAATGAGTAGTATATAAATACATATGGAAAAAACACTAGCAATGCATTATCTATTTTTAAAAAAAAATCAAGCAAACATTTATGACGTGACAAAATATTTTACCTAAATGTTGCAACCATGTTAGTTCTCGTTTAACAAATAAGTATTTATAGCGTAAATGAAACTTAAACTTTAGAAATCCTCATTAACAATTGAATAATAGCATTGACTTACATTATAGGTTCACGATTCCAACCCATTCTATAGAAACCACATAAACGTTTTTGTCTCCAACAAATATAATATAATATTCCACATGAAATGAGACACAGAACAATAAATACGCTGATAAGCACATATATCCAACTATTATTTGCTTTTTCTATTACCTAAGATGATAAAGATATTTCAGAAAAAAGTATGCGAGCGAAATAGTTATCGGGATGGGTCAATCAGAATTGAGGATGTAAGTTTTAGACTTTGTACAAAATTCAACTATCATTTATAACAAATAGATGAAATATCTTTATATATACCTTAAAATAATTAAAATGATTGTGGACAATTACTTTTTACCATAACTGAATAACAATGATGATAGTGAACAATATAAAATTTTAAGTTCTGTCTCTAGGTAACACATAAAAGATATATAAACACTATCGTTAAATTCTGAACCTCAACACAATCATAAAACAAATCTTAACTTGATAGTACTACATATGTTATAGGTAAACTAATTTATCCATCCATTTGTCTGTACAGAATTTTTCATTATAGCTGATGTCAGTTATTGATAAAAACTCCAAACCTAAACTCTTAAACTATACTCCGAATAAATAACTTTAATCTATTAGAAAAATCTATTAGGGTCTTCACAAGGGTCTGAGTGGTTAATTTTTAGTTAGGTTTACGTCTGTTACTCCTCATGGAGGAGCATAGGCCGCCCACCAGCATTCTCCATCCAATACTGTCCCACGCAATCCTTTCTAGCTCCGTCCAGTTGTAATTCATCGTTTTCATATCTGCTTCTATTATCCGACGCAATGTGTTCTTTGGCCTTCCCGTTTTCCGGTTCCCTTCAGGATTCCGAGTTAGGGTTTGCCTCGTGATGCAGTTTGATGATTCGCGTGATGTATGTCCTATCCATTTCCACCGTCTTTTCCTAATTCCCTATTCAGCTAGAAGCTGAATGGTGTTGCTGATGGTATCCGATCAATGGATGTTGAGTATCTTGCGTAGACAACTATTTATAAATATTTGTACCTTCTTGATGATGTTTGTAGTAGTTCTCCACGTTTGAGCTCCGTATAGTAGAACTGCCTTGACGTTCATATTGAAGATTGTGACTTTGATATTGAAATTTGAAAGCTGTTTTGAGTTCCATATATTCTTCAATTGTAGGAATGCGGCACTTTCTTTGCCAATCTCTGCCTTTACGTCTAAATCTGGTTCTCTTTGATCATCGATGATGCTTCCTAGGTACGTGAAGGATTCCACTTCTTCCAGAGTTTCGTCATCAAGTGAAAGCCGAGTTCCTTTGAGAGGTCAGATAATTCGTATTTGTAAGGACGAATTGATATGTGGTATTTTACAACTTAAAAGCAGACTAACATGCGAAATACATTAATAGATTCAGTAGATACGTAAAATTGATTTACAATTGTAAATATTATTGTCGTTTGTTTTCCATAAATTATTGTCTTTACAAAGATTGTTTACTGGTTGGCTATAAACTGGTGAGACGTTTGCCGCTGTTTTTTCATGTTCGTCCTTAAACTATACTTTCGCGAGACAAAGCAAAAATTTAAAATAGTTGAAACCATGAGTCAATTGAAGCTAAACAACCATGGATTGGTTGAAGTTAGACATTAACACCGTTGGATGCCGGCTCAGTGGTCTATTGGTTAAGTGCTGGCGAGCGAGACTGATAGGCCCTGGGCTCAAATCTCTAAGGGGAGGGCAGGGTCATGGACGTGCACTGCTGAAGAGTCCCATACTAGAACGAAACGGCCATTCAGTGCTTCCATGTTTTCCATGATGGTATAGCTTCAATTGACTCATGATTTCAACTAGTGAAATTTCTAAAATCTCCACAAGATTAGTAGTATAAAACTAATTACTGATAAGTTCTTTAGCTAAAAGATTTTATGATAAACGTAACTGATATTCACTAATCCATGCTTTTAACTTCTTTTCTTCAGTTTGAATAACAGGAATTAAAGTAATAAATTAGACAGATAAATTAAAAGGGTTTCAATAGACTTTTATAAAATCTAAATAAGTGATGAAGATAACAGGTGATTTATTTATAATCTAACATAAATCTGTCTTATAATCAGAAAACCGTCTTCAATAGGCCTCAGCATACACAAAGGGAAAACCAAGGTCCTCAAATTCAAAGCGGAGAACAGCAATCCAATCACACTTGATGGCGAAACTCTGGAAGATGTAGAGTCCTTCACATACCTAGGAAGCATCGTCGATGAACAAGGAGGTTTAGATGCAGACGTAAAGGCGAGGATCGGCAAAGCAAGGGTCGCATTCCTACAATTGAAGAACATATGGAACTCAAAGCAACTTTCAACCAATATCAAAGTGAGAATCTTCAATACAAATGTCAAGGCAGTTCTACGGTATGGAGCTGAAACTTGGAGAACTACAACAACCACCATCAAGAAGGTACAAGTATTTACAAATGGTTGTCTACGCAAGATACTCAACATCCATTGGCCGGATACCATCAGCAACAGCTTTCTCTGGGAGAGAACAAATCAGCTTCCAAGTGAAGAGGGAATTAGGAAAAGACGATGGAAATGGATAGGACATACATTACGCAAATCATCAAACTGCATCACGAGGCAAACCCTAACTCGGAATCCTGAAGGAAAGCGGAAAACGGGAAGGCCAAAGAACACATTGCGTCGGATAATAGAAGCAGATATGAAAACGATGAATTACAACTGGACGGAGCTAGAAAGGATTCCACAGGATAGTGTTGGATGGAGAATGCTGGTGTTTGGCCTATGCTCCTTCACGAGGAGTAACAGGCGTAAGTAAGTAAGTAAGTAAGTAAGTAAGTAAGTAAGTAAGTAAGTAAGTAAGTAAGTAAGTAAGTAAGTAAGTAAGTAAGTAAGTAAGTAAGTAAGTAAGTAAGTAAGTAAGTAAGTAAGTAAGTAAGTAAGTAAGTAAGTAAGTAAGTAAGTAAGTAAGTAAGTAAGTAAGTAAGTAAGTAAGTAAGTAAGTAAGTAAGTAAGTAAGTAAGTAAGTAAGTAAGTAAGTAAGTAAGTAAGTAAGTAAGTAAGTAAGTAAGTAAGTAAGTAAGTAAGTAAGTAAGTAAGTAAGTAAGTAAGTAAGTAAGTAAGTAAGTAAGTAAGTAAGTAAGTAAGTAAGTAAGTAAGTAAGTAAGTAAGTAAGTAAGTAAGTAAGTAAGTAAGTAAGTAAGTAAGTAAGTAAGTAAGTAAGTAAGTAAGTAAGTAAGTAAGTAAGTAAGTAAGTAAGTAAGTAAGTAAGTAAGTAAGTAAGTAAGTAAGTAAGTAAGTAAGTAAGTAAGTAAGTAAGTAAGTAAGTAAGTAAGTAAGTAAGTAAGTAAGTAAGTAAGTAAGTAAGTAAGTAAGTAAGTAAGTAAGTAAGTAAGTAAGTAAGTAAGTAAGTAAGTAAGTAAGTAAGTAAGTAAGTAAGTAAGTAAGTAAGTAAGTAAGTAAGTAAGTAAGTAAGTAAGTAAGTAAGTAAGTAAGTAAGTAAGTAAGTAAGTAAGTAAGTAAGTAAGTAAGTAAGTAAGTAAGTAAGTAAGTAAGTAAGTAAGTAAGTAAGTAAGTAAGTAAGTAAGTAAGTAAGTAAGTAAGTAAGTAAGTAAGTAAGTAAGTAAGTAAGTAAGTAAGTAAGTAAGTAAGTAAGTAAGTAAGTAAGTAAGTAAGTAAGTAAGTAAGTAAGTAAGTAAGTAAGTAAGTAAGTAAGTAAGTAAGTAAGTAAGTAAGTAAGTAAGTAAGTAAGTAAGTAAGTAAGTAAGTAAGTAAGTAAGTAAGTAAGTAAGTAAGTAAGTAAGTAAGTAAGTATGTAAGTAAGTAAGTAAGATTATCGTAGGTTCGATTAAAAATATATATACTACGTAGATTCAATTTAACTATATCTCTGGAAAATAACTTTGATTTACTAAAGTCCTTAAAATAGATAGGTTCGCTAGTTGACTCAGACTACTAGTATAACAGTTTTCTTGTAAGTACATTGTTTTCTATTCAACTATACCGAATAATATGCCATTATTTTAGTAAGTAATAATCAAGTAATAACCCAATATTTTCCAATGAGTCCAACAATATCAATGTTAGGGAACAATGAAAGCAAACTTTTTGAAAATTGCGTATATGATGAAAATTCGATAATATATCAACTACAGGTGATATATAATAGTTTCAGTTACTAACATTTTGCTAACAAAATCTATATCCATCTTTTAATGCATTTGAGTATAGACATAGTATTAGTTTACAGATGTAGCGTGGAGTCGAGTCGCGGTTGACTATGAACACCACTACAAGAAGACTACGTGCCAGTTAATCAATATGATCCTCCGTAAGCCAAATATCAAAAGGCAGTTGATGTCTGTAGTCGAGATGTATTTGTTGGCGATCACGTGGTATCGAAAGGATACCGAGGTCGTGCCAAAGGAGTACAAGCGTGGTTACCGAGCCTAACTGAACCTGTGCAAGGTCACAGTCGAAAGATAATGGAGCAGTAATATAGCTGTCCTTAGCACAGTTAAACAAACGAGCACAGTAAAACAGTCAATGGTATAATTGGTTATAATAATAATTGTTTTCATTGAACCAATCGTGTTCTCGTGACAAAAGTAAGTCACTACACAGGTAATAACATATTTGTCACACATTTTTCATTTTTTTACTCTAAGATACAAATTTATTGTTAAATGTAGCAGAAAATGACACATAAATAAAACACAAAATGCAAATTATAAAAAGTTAAAGTAAGAAACCGATATAACGTTCAGATGAAAGTACTTATAAAGATTATGAACCCATCAGCTTTTTTAAGGAAGTGGTATATTTTAAATTTTTAGTACTTCTTTTTTATCTAATAAATCTTAATGATTTTCTCAACACAATATAAACAGTAAACATTACTCTGTGATAACTTCAAAATGTACGATCTTCATTAACCAATTAACTTCATGATAATCTTTTACTCACTAGCCATAAGTTTTCAGAATAATCTACAGGAACTTTATTCCCGAACTATGACTGATAGAGTTTCATTTTATCAATTGTGAGACAGCTGGCATTTTGTTCGCTGAGCTGGACCAAAACATCCAGCTCAGAGAACAAAACTCCATCAAAATCATCCATCTGAGATACAAATCTTCTCCACCATTTCATAGCTATCATTTGATGATTTTATATAATGATCATACTATATCACGAATAGTGAAATATTCATTTTTGACTCTCTAGCTTAAAGTTTCCAAACTTTCCATTCTGTAGTGTGGTTGTAAGTTTCCACTATCGAGAACTCCTAAGTGAGGATTATACAACAGATTTTCAATAGTTCTTAAGCTGATATCAGTACTTGAAGTAAACTAACTACAAACAATTAAACAATTGGTATTACTCTTACAAGATTCATATTGAAGTTTAAGATAAAATTCAATTTCATTTAAATCATAAACCGATGAAAGTTGAAATACTATTGAAAACTGGAAGCACTGGATAGCCGTTTCGACTCAGTTCAGAACTCCTCAGCATTACGAATCCGCGACCCCACAAACAAAAGTTTCGGGACCGATTCTCGGCAGCGGGGTCGTGGATGATTACTGCTGAAGAGTCCCGTAATGGACCTTAACGGTCATCTACTGCCTGCATTTTCCGATAGTTTTCTAACTTAAATCGTGGTCTCAATGTAATTCAACAATCTCTGCAATCACGTACTGACAATAAAATTAAATGTTTTAAAAATAAATATTACTTTTCTTACTATTACGTCATCATTGTTGTTTTCTAATGAGACGGTTGATAAATTTACTCTTTTAAAATTTATAAAGTCAGGTAAACCATTTGAATTAACCATGGGTTTATAATGATCAGGCCATAAAGTTGGAGGTGTGTTACAACGTAGACCAGTCCACTGATTTTGACAAAAACAACGAAAATTTCCATAGAGATTTTCGCACATTGAATTTACATTACAAGATGATGTTATATGGTGGTTGATATTAATACTTTTGTTGCTACCATTATTATTCGGTTTCACTGAACACTCATCTATATCCAATTCACACCTGTTAACAGTATAAAAATAACATTAGTATAATACGGATTATCAAGAAACAGAGAGAGAAACAGAAAGAAGGAAAGATAACAAATAAATGCGATTGTAGGAGATTGTTAAAATTGTTGAACGCCATAGTTTAAATCATAGGGTGATCTGATTTGAGCAACTAACTAAACCAGAAAGGACTGGGCAACTTTCCCGTCCTAGCACGTGAGTGCCCAGTAGTGTGGACCCACAACCCAATCAGAGGTCCAACCCAGGACCTTCAGGATTCGTCGTAAACGTTTAACCTTTAGACCACCGATCCAGTATCTCATGGTCTACATCGCTACCATCAACCGATCGGTGACACTCTGCAGCCATCTCCTGCGAGATTAGTGGGTAAATGTTTCACACTCAAAATGTTTGGACACCTTAGATTACGGTCTGTCATTAGAACTCCATAAATTGCTTCTACAAATTAGTCACCGATAAGCACATGATATCGTAACAACCTATCATGAGTATATTAGGCGAGCTTAAGTAGTATAGACGATAATATTCCTGAAGGTTTTCTAAATTGATGTTTGATAGTTGAAAGCGATCGTTAGGGAACCTTGAGTCTAGAAGTGAGATAGTCATCACTCTTCACCAGGCTTTGTCGACAAGTTTGATGAACTTGATGTCATTCACGAGACTCACACTTTCTTAATTCGCTGCTGTTGCCAAAACCGCTGCCATTGAGCTTTTTTAGAACACAACTGGTCTTGTCTAGGATTAAGATATTTACACCTACTGATCACTGAGTAATTACCAAGGTTGTATTTATCTAGTCTATAGTGCTGTTCTAGTTCCATGGATTGAGTTGCACTCTTGGCTCCGAACTAAAGGAGTTGAAAAAGCGTGGTACTTTTCACATGATGTCATTTGATTAAGAACACTAACAGGAAGCCCTGGGACTAGATATTGTACCAATCAGTACATACTAGCAAGGTGGATATGGGGTCTTTTTAAATTTGCAAACCAGTACTTAAGTTGGTTAAATTTGATAGTGTTTTTGGATATCGCATTATTGCGATTTATTCCTGAGACTGAGTCTATCAGGTTCTGTTGACGTTTCAAGTTTTTTAAATAAATACGACTAAAAATACTTGTATTTGTAGTTTGAAATTACCTTTACTGTCAAGCTATATCCAAAAAATATTATCCTTAATGACAGCTCCACGTTTCACGTCATAATTTCAACCGTGGTTAAATTAGTTCTTACTGTTTAGACTCATGCAATTATTTATTGATTTGAATACATAAATGTTGGTACAAAGGGGCACAGAATACACATGCGCCATACAAGTCACTTGATTTGTATGTGGGCTGTGATATTGTCCGAGTGCCCAAACCGAAGCAGGTGGTTTTCTTAGAAGGCCTTACACTGAACCTTCGACCTAAAGGTCTGATCCACAAGGCAGAGGAGCAACGTCAGGACATTCAGTCCTATGGTAGCCGGCTACCAACGATTGATTTATACGCCATCTGTTCCCTCAGGATACTGGAGCCCATGTGCACCGTCGGTTTGGAATCAGAGTTTTCAAAATTCCTTAGGTGGATCATCCATATCCATCAATCCGGTTAAAGCGCCAGATATTTGCTTTCCATCCTCTCAATTTCGTAAACAATACCACTGGTGCGAGAGGGCAGTGAGTAGGACTTCCGTGGGAGTGGCTGTATACTCATTTTGAGAGGGAGAGCTGACTCTCCCTACCCTCGGCTAGACTTATGGCAAAAGAATTAGAATTAAATCACGAATGTTAATACGGCAGACATCCTTAAAACATAAATCGTCATATGTGAAATCACCTATTTTGTTCCAAAAAGCATCTTGTATAGTGTGCTTATGTAAAATGAACGATTGTTAATGACCTTGTGATTTTTATCATTTTATCAGTCAGTGTCTAAAGAAGTAGAAAGAATTGAACGAGTCTGGCTTTCGAAGAAAGCTTATCGAAATTCTAATTCCATAACTTATATGCAATCTGTTGAAATTAGTGTTTGAATTTAATATATTATTAACATTATATTCAATACACATTATAAGCATATTTTTATACATTTAAATTTAATCAGTCTGGATTACCATTTGCCTGTAAACCCAGGTATACAAGCACAGTATGGAATTGGATTGGATAAACTCCTGTTTCCTTCATCAAGATACTTTAGTAAGCAAAATCCATTTTGACAAAAATCTTGTAATGGACTGCATTGATTCGGGGGTTCTGAACAATGTGGTCCTGAAAAGAAGAAATGAAAACTTTTCTAACTTAACTATTTCCGGAAACTTATTGTCGTAGTCATTCACTATCTATCCGTTACACTAAGAAACAAGCTATATGTTAAACGACGTTTCTTATGAACGAAGCAATTTGTGTAGTACAAAGATTGACCTCAAACATTACACGCTTGTAGATGATAAAACAATGTGACAGTGGAATGTTTCACGAAATTGAAGTTAACAGCAGTAAAATAGAAAGGCGAATAAATGAGAAAACAAAAATATGAGACAATGTACCGGTGTAAATGTACCACTTAGCCATATTACATAACTGTTGTAGTTGTTGATGTCTCGTTCCTTATAGATAACAACTAGAAAACGTATGGTTATTCACCAGGTGATAACCAAATATGGATGAAAACACGTATGACTATTGTAACTTGACGTGATTATAAGAAGACTTATCTCATTGGATGTGGACGTGGCAAACAACAGTAATTGACCAGGAAGTAAAACGTCTATGGTCCCACTAAATGAAAATTTATTTCAGGCAAATCAGTATGAGACCTAGATATTCATCAATATCAGACGAACAACTTATCGATAGTAATCTTTTTTTATTAAACTTCAAAAGCCTATAAGCAAACATTCAAATTTATTTTACCCTGACATAGTTGTGGCGAATTCTTGAAATATGCTGTTACACTTTCTAGGTTTAAGAAGATTGTGGAATGGAAAATAATTTGCATTTTTTCAACCAACAATAATCTTGTCACCATCTGGCTCTGTAATCAAATCTCATTGTGATAAATCAAACGAGACTTAGCCAAAAAGTGGCAACATCTGTTTTAAATTATGTATGAGGCTGATATATCCCATAGATCTCAAAGAATTAATGGCTAATTGATTGATCATGTTGACTTAACGCCTACAATTTAAATGGATAATAAACTTGGTTCTTGTAAACAAATAAATAATGTGTTCAAATTTGTTCTGTTCGTAACTTGATTGGGTGGAATATTTTAAGGGTAAATTATGTCTAGAAGTATAAAGACTGTTTACTCCTAAGACGCTGCACTGCTTTTGGTAAAACTAATCACTATCCAAGAAAAACTGTGCGCTATAATCTGTTACATTTCAAGTTTTAAGACATTGAGACTTAATGATGGGAAAAGTGGCGAGAAAATTTGCAGAACTAATCACAAAAGGCATTATAAGTAGCCAAATATAGTCATTTAACCACGCAAATTAGTATTTTGGAGCAGTCGAAGATTTTGGTCTCTTAAAACAGCTCACTATTTATGGTCATAAATTTTAGGAGTGCTTTTATTAGAATTTAATAACATACCTGTAAAATTATGTTTACAGGAGCAAGTGTATCCAACATGAGTATTAGTACACGTTCCCATGGGGCCACATGGTGTTAATATACCACAGTGATCAACTTTGTTACATTCATCACCAAACCACCCTAGTTTTTCAGATTAGAAGAAAAGTGAAAATAAATACTGCTGACTAAATCTTGCCAATTAATGATTTTTCTAAACCTCAACTCTACTTCATTGTTATATTAGTAAAACTATGAGAATCAAACAAGGCATATATAATTTTCACTACACCTGTTCCGACGGGTTGTCATTAACTTGCTGACTATGGGTTAAACTTTAAATCTCAAATATGCTTCATGCTTAATAAAATATAACTTGTCGTTAACATAAGTATTTGTGATTTATACGCCGACAGTTCGTGAAAATATCTAGAAATGAAAGTACGGGACTTATGAATGTAGCTTATAAAGACCACATTTCACCAAAATCCATTTAGAGATCGGTTTATTTATTTTTGAGCATGAGACAGTAAACACATATAGTGCATCTCTGTCCGTACAATATTCAAACCGAACAAGTAACTATAAGGCCTAGCTAGTTGCTCTGTTGTAGGATGGAAATTTCCTTTTCTAGGTGGCATCTGTTAACAAAAACCGCAGACAAACGGAGGAACTATCACTAACAGTACATGCGTTGGATAAAGTAGTGGGTTAAAATTAAAAATAATACCAATGTTTAGGAGCAACTTCTAAAGTTGGTTTCATTTGGGAATAAAATTATGAGGGGATTAGATATTTTTAATCATAAGGGTGGAGTTTTATCAAATAGGATAAATATACGGAGATTACGTTGGATATTCAGAGATAATCTACGTAAAGACTTGAATGTGTGTTGTTTATTAAACTCTATTAACATCTAGTTGTTCGGTTATCTAAGCTGAAGTCACTCCAGAGATATTAAAGGTTTAAGAACCTCTTGGAGGTTTAACATGATTAAACACGATTCCACAAGCCTTAATGAAATCATAAATGTTCATTAATATACTTAGAGCTCCTAAAACTAAACTTGTACTGATACTAATATCGGACTAAGCTAATAATCCTTTTGCAATACCTTAAAGAGTTAGTAGAATGATGATCCGAGAACACTTAAAACCTGACATAATATTGTTGACCCTCGAAAGTTCTTACAGACACAGTTTTGAGGTGAAACTCACACAGACATCAAAAGATTTCCGATTCAGGATAACTTTCAGGTGGTGAGCGATGTTTTCTCAAAGGCAATACATCGTCATGGGCAAATATCCTTTAGGGTAAGCCTGCTCAAGATACATGATTTATTAATAAATCAAAATCAAGAACAGAACATGCTGTAACCTTTTGGGATTAAAACTTTACTGATAGTTTAGCCTAACTAGTAATGAATGGAAGCAATCTGAATGTCTTTAATAAAATGTTTCACACTGATCCTTTCTGAGGAGAGCATTTAAATTAACAACCCCATTATCGTATTTATGGAATTTCTTCATATGGATGAACTTACCAGGAATACACACCTTTGCACCTGTTGAAATATCACAACCATAGTGCCGTACTCTTTTTTGTGGGACGCAGTTGACGCTACAGTCACTTCCATAGCTGCCACGATTACAAACAGCCCAAACTGCTACATACATATTTATGTAATCTTGCGTTATATTTCGAGATATTTTATGATAACGGTAAGAAGAAAGGAGTGATGAACCACCAATCTCAAATGGATACACAGTGTACATGTATGCATTATCCTCAAATGTTGTCAAATGGTCATCTAAATCAGAAAAAGAATAATCTGCATCCCAAACTTCGATCTTCAAGTACAATTTAGACTGTAAGTTGTTTAACAAAATATATGAATGTTACCGGAAGTTTGTCTATTATTCTGGACAGTGGGTTTGGTATATAGTCTATTAAATCACCAAAAGATATAGAATTCTGGTTCATTAAAGAAGATTTCGGTGTTCTCATATCTAAAATGTTGCACCCCCTGTTCGATTCTAAGTAATCTAAAAAATGGAAACTACTTCGAATTTTGATCACCTATGCAAATTTTAAAGTACAAATCACAGTAATCTGGTCTTGAGAAAGAGTTGCAATGTCCACTTGACGAACTCACTGTAATGTTAACAAACTTTAAGAATAGTGTTGCATATCCGTCTACTTGCGAAGCATTTTCAAAAACTAAATTTGGGTTCAAAGATAAAAATCTGCTTACTAAATGACAATAAAATAACCAAAGACACTAAATGTCCAATATCCATAAACTAGCGATATCATATAACAACTTGCAAACCTACCGCTTATACAAACTGTTTCTATGGGATGGTATAAAGAAATTGGTCGGACATAGATAACTAATTTTTACCAGCCGACAGAAGCACAATTTACACAATCTTTAAACACCTCTCTTTTTTGTTCATTGGATCGGTACTGCAAATAAGCTCATTATTTCGTATTAATGGAATTTATCTATCTACACTTATTTTTTGTTAACAAGCCACTGTAACGCACCTGCAGTAGCAAGTGAATCCGCATGATAATCAGTCTGCTAAGTTCTTGCCAGTAGCTCTGAATTCGTGATTTTACTAGATACACTCGTATCTGAAGGTACTCGGTCAGCCATCCTCGCCAGTTCACGTTTGATAAGCCGTTCCACAAAATTACTCACTGCATACTTCATTCACTTCAAAAAATCGATCACAAATAAAACATTTGTAGTGGTATTGGTCCTAATCTTCAGATCTGAACATGAGGTAACTGATAAAGTAGATACTTACCATTTAACACGCAATGAAAGCCAACAATGGTGAACACGGGAATATTCATGCATTCACTCTGATAGCATTGCTCAAATTCTCAGACATGGTAATTCTGCATAACTCGTCTTTATTCATATTAAAAATGTCATCCTATCTTGGGCTTAAATGTGTTCTTCATAAACAAAAATTATCATATTGTTAGTTGTTAAGATACCTCGAGCCAGTGTAGGCAGTCATGTGACTTTTATGTGTAGGCAGTCACATCATGACATATTTGCAATTTTAGGATTGGGTTTGTAATTATGATCGTACTAATAACGACGTAGATCATAATTCTACACACACTGCTAAATTCCTTTAATTTCGACCTCTGGTTTGATCAGCCTTGTGGTTTTCTTATTATACGAAGTTTTAGAATGAAACGGTAATTAGAACTGCTCAGCCGTGACGTTTTCACGTCGCGAGTTGCAAAGGTGAACGTTGGAACTTGGGATGACGTTCACAACTAACTTAATGCTCTCACACGACGGATTTATCCACTATATGATCGGAAAAATGGTTGCATCCACATATTGCTTGTTTAAAAACTAAAGCACTACAAACTCGGGAATATGTAGTGGTATTAGACCATAACCACACAATCTTCAAAGCTGAACACGAGACCACTCAGAAAATAGATATTCAACATTTAACGCGGAGAAATACCTAACGATGGAGAAGGCGCGAGCAAGGAATTGAATGAATAGGGAGTTGTTCGAATGGCATGGCTCGACCATGCAGGCGTGGTCTCTGTTGAATGTTATCTTATATCTTTTATTCATATTAAATATATTGTTCTTTCTCTAGCCTAAGCTTGTTCTTCATCATGTATTGGTAGTTGTTACGATACAGTGAGTTGGTGTAGTCGTTGGTGTGACTTCCACGTAAGATCTTATAGATTAGGCAGTTATATCATGACAAGTCTACAATTTTAGGATTAGGTCTATTATTAGAGCAGTACTAATATCATAGTAGACCATAGTTCTACAAATACACACACAATCCACACTAGCGTCCGCAAATTGACAGTTAGTTCTACATCTCCATTAGCGTGTAATGATCTACTTTTACCAAGAGAATGCAATTGGTTTAATGGAAACAATTATTATTATAACCGATTGTACCACTGACTGTTTTACTGTGCTCGTTTGTTTAACTATGCTAAAGACAGCCTTAATACTACTCCATTGATTGTGACCTTGCACGTGTTCCGTTACGTTTGGTAACCACGCTTGTACTCCTTTGGCACGACCTCGGTATCCTTTCGATACCACGTGATCGCCAACAAATACATCTCGACTACAGACATCAACTGCCTTTTGATATTTGGCTTACGGAGGATCATATTGATTAACTGGCACGTAGTCTTCTTGTAGTGGTGTTCATAGTCAACCGCGATTCGACTTCACGCTACAAGTGTTTGATGTTGTTGGTCTTGCCACTCAGTCACAGTGTTCCTGCATGTTTCGACAGGGAGTTAGAGGTTGGTACGAAGTGCTGTTGCTTGGAAAATTAAGATATATATATGTATTATGCGTAGTGACATTTCTCACCTTTTATCCTTGTGCCATTAATGAAAAATGACAGTTCCTGATAATGTATGGCTATTGGATGATTCTTCCTTCTCAGAAAACGTATCACAAACACAGGGCTACCTTTGCTTCTCAGAAATATCGACTAGCATACAAAAAGTCACGGAAGATGAACCTGAAAACGTGAGTTATTTAGAACCCATCCGATTCACGAACATCATACATAGATGAACCCAAACAACTTCATTAATACTTATGTTGTTGCAAGTTAATATATTTTTGAATGACAGACAGAAACTTCATGTACGTAAATTCAAATCCATTAATCACTAAACGATGCTATTTACCCTATTGCGGCTTATTAGAACATGTTCATATTTCGCTTCTCTTTAATTTTATGTTCTGTCGGCACCTTAGATCAATTTCTGCTATATTCTACACTACATATCCTTGCGATTTATTCCTCTGGCAGACTCATATACGACAAATGACTTGTTAAACAGTTTTCACAGTATTTCAAATCGCTCATACGAATATGTCATTGTATCGTCCAGAGAGTCACGACGCAAATGCATGATATTTTTCTGTACTCTTATTAATTTGCTCATAATCTCATGCCAACAATTCCTTTTTTTCCTCTTCTTTACGATATTAATCTACTTCTTAGCATAAGTATGACACTTTTGTATAATATACTGACTGCTCACGTGACAATACACTCTACTTGATATATTACGATTTTTCCGCCTTCTTGATCCTCTTCACAACAATTCGAACCATTCTGAACCGCTTGAGGCAGTTAACCACGACTTTGGTTCAGTTATATTCGTTTCAGAGCTAGTGGTAAAAGAGAGCAAGATGAAGTGAGTTGCTTTACAATACAAGAGGTTTCTTCTAGGATCACTGTCAAAGGTTTCGCAGTGAAATAGAAGGGGCACCTATGATAACACACAGGTTAATATCCATACCGTTTTCATCGTTGTAATGTTTGGTGAATTCATTGTTTCGTCAGTTTTCGAAAGTAATGAGATCAATGTAAACGCCTTTAATATTACGAAGCTGATGGAAACAGTGGTTCAGAGGAGTTGGTTATACCAGTTCTTTCTAGGTTTCGCATACAATTAGTTCAATTATTACCTTATATTTATGCCTTCAGCTTCTGAGAAATTCAAACAAGAAAAGCACTTATCCATAATCAATAAGGATTGTTCACAACACGGACGTTAAACTGAAGGAACAAACGATTTCCTTCTATCTCTCTTAGAAAAAGTTTGATACTTGAAGACATTGAATGTGTGATTGTCTTGGTCAACAATCACTGCGCATTTCAAGGTTCTTATGAGTCATGACAACCCCTATACTGTATAGATGTGTTAATTGGTAACGTTAACTTTATTATTACTACTTGTTAGCAAGGAAAATATAACAGAATTGAATTTCGATATACACGAGGCATTTTGCTGTCGAAATGTGATAATATGCCCAGATTGTGGTGTCAGCCTTCTGAAAACAAAGTTATTGGAGCATCAGCTGGATGAGCATAGTAAAATTAAGTGTACATATTGTGGCTCTTTATTTCAAGAGTCCAGCGTTTTGGAACATGAAGTATGTGTTTGAATAAAAACTTATACATATTAGTTTATATGCCCTAGACGACTGGTGGAGTGCGTTTTTTGTAACTTGGGGGTGACCATAGACCTATTAGAAGACCACGAGTACACATGTGGTGCTAGGACAGAACGCTGCTCAGAATGTGGGGACTTTGTGATGCTTAAAAGCCGTCAAACTCATCGCTGTAAGAAACCCACAGGTAGTTGTGAATTATATACTAATAAGAGGTTCTAGAATGTCTTACAAACCTACAGAATGTATGTATACTTTAAATCTAGTACTTCAATTTCAGGATCTCGAGAAAGACTTCTGTGTGGCGTTGAATTTGCAATATGAAGATTACATTCAAAATGTACATTCCACAACACTCCAAAAACATATAGGAAGTCAGACTGACATCACACATCATAAAACAACTGTTGAGAGACCGTCAAATGAAAATGTCGTGTAAGTTTGACGTTTCGTATTTACCGAAATAATGTGTTGAGCTATTGGTTATTCAAAAAATTAGTTCATTAGTACAACCGTAATGTCAGTACATGAGTATAGTGAAAGCGCCTCGATTAGCTTATTAACCTTTTAGTGTCTTTTTGCAAACTGCAATCTGGAGCCACGGCAATTCGGATTAATAGAAGCATGAGTCCTTTCATGGTAAAAGGGATGGTATCATTTGTGTTTAAATGCTATATCTTGCTACTTATTATAAAGGATTGAATGAACAAGTTAGTAATATACGGTTGCAAATATGTATTCTACCTCGTATTGTTGTGGGACGACGTCAGAAGTGTCAGTTTGAGAATTCAAACTAAAATTTATGGATTGTAGCTAAATGTAGAGCGCAGGTTGCTCTTTTTGCCGTCTTGGACTCGTCGGCTGGGTGTACATGCTTCATAGTGTTTATATTCTTACTGGTACTCGAACCAAATATTGTTGATCCTCAGCAGGAGCTTCAGTCAGTAATGTACGACGTAAGACCTGGTACACGTTTACATTAGTCCAAGTTGCCGCGGCCCATTAACATAGCGAGATAAGATTGTCACGGTTAATACCAAGCAGTAGTAGAGGTAGTAACTGTATTAGGGGTGATAAAAAAGATTGGGCGCCGAAGCTACGATCCGAGAGGTGAATATAGATCAGTGGAATAAAAAAAAGTAACTTAGGTAGTTATGAAACTTAGGATTTAAGGGAATATAAAGAGTGAATTCACTTCTTCCATTACCAAAAAGCTCGAGCTATGTCACCGGGCCTTAACTAGGTGATCTGCACCACCTATATGACTCGATTTAGCAGTCAGTGCAAGTGTAGTCAATAAACTGGCAGAGTCTTACGTTTACGTCATACTTCTAAGATCTGCTCTATTTTGGATCTTGTTACGTGTTACTGATTTACCGAAATCTTATTCGCTTTTCTTGTTTTAGGGATGAATGGGAGTCAAATTCGATAATACCGTGTGAATTTTGTCATTCCTGTTATTCAATAGATATGATTCATGAACACCAAGTATGTCTTTTGTTTCCATGCAAATTGTTTTGCAATTGTTAGTTGACGTTTGAGTGTAATTGAAGTTTTTTCTGTGAATTACTGCGAAATATGTGTTATTTTTTGTTGTTTATGATAGGTTCATACAGACTAAAGATAGGGTTAAACAACTTGATCGCTGGCAAAAATATATGTCAATCTAAGTCAGCGCGTTTCTAATTCTCCAAATAAAAGAAAATAAGAAGGAAAATCGAGTGGTTTTGGTAAAAACACATATAGTTTTGAGCAACTAAATTCAAGAAAATTTTAAGGTAAACGAACAATGCTGTAGTAGTAAAAGTGTACGAACATCAAAAGCAAGGCTGTAAAGCGCACTGTCATTGCACGGAAACCCACTTAGTGTCATTTACGTACTATTATATGATGTAGAGCCATTTTCATTGAATGCCTTGAATGAGTTTCCATCATACTAACAACATGGTTACGAAAAGTGCATAGTAAGCTCAGTCAGCACTTGTTCACTCCAAGAAACGTATCATATCAGTATGTTAAAAAACGTCGAATAGTCTCTAAAAGACTATATAAAACTAGTCTATAAATTTCCTAATTGCTGATATATGTTTTACTGAGTTTTCAAGGCCTTAGGTAACCATATTCTGGCAAGCAGACTAAAATGAAGAATGTCAACCATCCAATTCGAATTTAGTGCCCTAGTGGTCTCATCCTCACCAAGAAGTTTCAGTCTTTACTTCCATAAATCACAGTGTTAAGCAGTCCTGAAACTATGATGAAACAGTTACTTAGTTTTCCAGATCATAACACTTTTTGATAAAAGTAACTCTTAAGTTATGGGGAAATGTTTGTTCTAATCTATGTTTTAATGTTTACGCTGATGAATAATTACATTCGTAGTTTACATGCAGAAACAAATATTGGCATTGATCGAATAAAGATGCGTAGTAAAACTCAGATATTATTAACATTCCTCTTTCTTTTTAGAAGAATAGGGGCTTATGATGTTCGAAATTTTATTACTGAATCACAGGTTTGAACCTCTGTCCAACGATTTTGCCTTATACATCTAGTTAGCACTACTTTTCTATATTATTCTAGTGTGATTCATACCAGAGTAAACAAATCTATACTTGTGAAGTAGGTTACATCGATCATAGTTTACTTCAGTGTTATAACTGTATAATACTGTATTTTTACTGGTAATAAATAAATAAATTGTTATAAATGGTTACTACAGGTTTTGTGTTTACTTGAAAATGATTCATTGATGTCGGCAACAGAAGAACAGACGAATAAACCCAACGATTTATGTAATCAAGTAACTACAAATACAGAAAGAACACCGAACTCTTGTAACATTTCACAAGCAGCTGGATCCTGTATTAACCCATCAAGTTAGTGGTTGTTCTAGTTGATTTTTAAAATATTTGCAATTTAACACTGAAAAACAATGTGATACATTACTGTCCAAACTGTTAACAATTACATCATATATATATATATATATATATATATATATATATATATATATATATATATATATATATATATATATATATATATATATAAATTTCTTACATTACAAGTACTTTCATCCAAATTTGAACGACTAGTTTTACAATAGTTGCACTCCGAATATTTATAGAGATTCCAGTGATTGAAATTCAGTTTCCTTCAATCTTCTTTTGGTATTTTGAATTATTTGAATTGTATTCTGAACTAAGAATCCCCGAAATAACGCAATTAAATCAAGAAGTACTAGATGAGCACAAACGAATGTATTGTATTTAGAATTCGAAATCAAGCATTCAACAAGTACAAAAGAATCATTAGTTAATTCTAACACCACACTTCTTCAAACTAATAACCAAATATCGAAACGGCCTTCCAGTGCTTCCAGGTTTTCCATGGTGGTCTAGCTTCAACTGACTCATGATTTCAACCTGTGAAATATATAGTTCTTATATGTTCATACACTAATCTACTATTCTGCAACTCTAAACTAAAACGTGTTGTTGTATAGAAGCTTTATTGATCTGATCATAACTCAGTAGAATTCGAAATTGGAGTTTAGGTACTAAATCATTGTCAATAAGTTCAAATCATGGTGAAGGATTAGGATAGGGTTAGGATTACGCCTGTTACTCCCAATGGAGCATAGGCCGCTGACCAGCATTCAAATCATGGTAAAAGTCCATGACCAGAATTCAAACTAAGTTAATGTAACGAAAATTACACATCCCTAATAGGTTCACAAACTATGTCAACAATGTTGAATGTGAAGTTTGTCTTATTGTAGGCATATTTCGTTTAGTGTGAAATGTGGAGAATTTGTGCTAAGATATTTATGTATGTGTACATTGATCTGATTTAAGAAAACATTTATCAATCATTCATGGCCTTAGATTGTGAAAGTTGATACACTTAGAATTACATAATTCTGCGTAAACCTATATATCGATTATGCAATGTTTATTTAACTCACCATAGTGACCATCAGTAGGTAGTATATATTTAAACATTACTGAACCGCTTAGTTCTATACATTGATTTTCACGTTAGTTTTTTTGAACTAGGTTTCTTTTTATCATAGATTTTAGTATTTGACAAAACTGTTAGTTATGCTTAAAAATTAACGTTACATTGTGTTTGAAAGTAGCAGAAAAAGAAATTAATAACAACTACAGCATATATATATGTTGTGGATAGACCACGTGTTACTCGTGATATAAGTAAGTGGTTAAACGGCCCCAAATGCCCTGGTACGGTCAAGAGTGGGGAGAGTCCGCTCTCCCTCTCAAAATGCGCTCACATGGCCACGTGTATACAGCCACTCACACGGAAGTCCTACTCACTGCCTTCTCGCACCACTGGTGTTGTTTACGAAGTTGAGAGGACGAAAAGCGAATGTCCGGAGCTTTAAGCGGGTTGGTGGACACAGAAAGCCCACCTAGGAAGTTGGAAAACCCTGATTCTAAACCAATGATGCACATGGGCTCCAGGATCCTGAAGGAAAATACGGTGTATGAACCAATCGTTGATGACCGGCTATCATGGGACTGCATCTTGTGACGTTACTCCACTGCCTTGTGGATCAGACCTTTAGGTCGAAGGTTCAGCGTGTGGCCCCCTAAGGAAATCACTTGCTTCGGTTTGGGCACCTGAGCAGTATTACAGCCCTCACACAAATCAAATGAAAATTGTGTGGCGCGTATGTATATGGTGCCTCCTTGTACCAATATCTATGTGTCTAAATAAATAAAATAAATAACGTGGTTAAACGACTGTACTGATGTATTTGGTTCCGTCCGTTAAAAATATATATGTCTATTTAAAACACTAACTATTATTTGTAAGTACATTTCATTGAAAACTAACACCATTTAAAAGAATCATTGGGAATAAACAGTTAGTGCAACAATGAATCTTCATTAATTGAGGTGATTGGGGTATATATTACATCTCTGTAATCACTGCATACCCAAACGATTAGTTATATATTGGAATAAAGCTGGGGGTGGACAAATTAAGACGTGGTATCGACCCATGAATTCGTAAACTGTTAGACTGATCCATGAGGATATGTGTTCATTACCCAGTTGGGGTGATATGGCTCAGAAATGGTGGTAATGGCACTGATTCATTCACTTTTTCCATCCCCTTAGATCTTGAGTTTTAAAATGACCTTATTCTTTTTATTTCACAGATTTATGCTTTTTTATGGAATCATAATACATATACCTCGTCTCTTCTACTACCGTTGACAGTCTTACTACTTCGTCAACTTTGGTTTTTGGCTTGAAAATTTCATCTTAATGTGCTGATATGGCATAGAAACTTGAACTGACGCATGTGTTTCAGTAATCAATTCCATGTATGGATGAATTAGTGCTTTTTGAATATGTCATCGGTTCTCTAGTTATCGTTATTTAACGTATAAATTACTATTCAAGTTAGGTGTATCAAAAATAAAGTAATTATTCTACTGATGACTTGAAGTACTTGACACAATTGTACCAGCAACGCACTAGATGAAGAGAAATAGCAATATTATAGAGGAATAGGAGAGAAGAAAACTTTGGAAATGAAAAAAAATTAAGAACCAGTAGAAATTCCGTGTAAGTAAAACACAACAAAGGTTTTTTAGTCTAAATGTGGAACATGCTGTTTACAGCAGAATTCCCGTTGGTTCCCAATAACACCTGTCTATCTAGGTCTCCTGCTACTTATGTTAATTAAGGTTCCTTCTAAAGATTCAAGATGGAAAAACAGATACTAATGTAACACAGATATTCTTGACTTTACTACACTTTAAGGTAAACTGACTTCCACGAGTTCCCGGCGTCGTCAAATAACTGGCTCACAATAACCTCATTTTCAAAACTTTCTATTATTAGTTTTTAACTACTCATGTTTATCCAGTAGTATACAGCGTCATGCTTACATTGATACACATTAGCCTGACCCAAAATTATGCTAAGTTTGAGGTTGTGTAAGCTTAGGCTCTGTCATTAATCTATGATTTTAGCACCTGACAAAGAAAATCATGGATTTTTTCTTGGGATTTTCCAAATTTCGGGAAATTTACATCAATGAATCTGTGTAAAATGTATCGAATTTTATTATTATTATTATTATTATTATTATTATTATTATTATTATTATTACTATTATTATTATTATTATTAATGGCTTTATTCAATATTATTTAGGTGTTTGTTGAGATTGTTAAATTTCTTATTTTATATCGCTTAACCAGTGGGATTCAACCTTGCCGAACATAAGAAAAGTATCGTCGACGGCATTAGATGGTGGGCATACAGCATCGCAAATTAAGTGAAGTTAGACATTTGATACACTGGTTGTCGCCTCAGTGATCTAAAGGTTAGGCTCTTTCCGCAAATCCTGAAAGTTCTGGGTCTGATCCCTGGGGGGTTTCACTACAGAGGTTGAGTCCTATACTAGGAAAAAACAGCTGTCAAGTGCTTCCTGGTTTTTAACGGTTGTTTCAATAAAATCAGTTCTTGATGGAAACTTTAATGTATCTAACAGTTAACATTATGGTGATTGACTCAATTTTTACCTGTAACTTCACCGCTGACTTTCATTATCTTTGTATGTGTTCTTTTCCTTTTCCTTCTTTAATGTTATTGTCATTCCGTTTTTTTTCGTTATATATTGTAGAAGCGTGTAGCTGATTAATCTAACGACCCCTTTCTGGAATTATATTCATAGTGCCGGTAGCAGCTGTTTATTTCTTAAATGAAGTAGAAATATGTATTTTTGTAACTTGTATACGAAAACTTCAAATACAAAACTCAGCGATCAAATGCACATAGGATTCAAGTTGCTATGCCTCATATTGGCACGGTAGCAGGGAGATTAGTTAACAAAGATGAGTGACAGAGGAGAAGCAATAATTTACAATTGATTGGTCACCAATGTCGCATTTATTAAGTCCATTAGTAATGCCCAAATTCTGTCGATCGAATTGCAACGCGACCACCTGTAATCAATCAATTGAAACTATCTCAGTCCTACAAGAGCTTAATAGCGACCTGAACAGCGCACTGGTACCGTCTCAGATTATAAAGCTAGGTTAGGTAAACTTGAATTTCACTGTGAGAACCAATTTCCTGAAGATTGCAGGTACCCCTTGTTGAATGCCTCTAATCACCTAACATTGGAATAAACCATTTCAAATCTTTTGGCAAACCAAACATGCTGAATAATTTACGAAATAATATAGTCTATAGTGAGAACGGAATAGCACAAAACTCAAAATTTGGTAGATAAGAGAATGAATACAGCTACGGCAAGTTGAGACCATATTACTTAAGGTCTGTAAATGTACAATATGATTATTCAGCATATCATAGTCAACAGGACTCACTTCAACATGTTATGGTTCTCTCTATAAATGCTATATCGTCATATGGTCGCCCTTAGCTTTGTTTGATCCCCTCCTATGTCCGTGGTGTATGCTACTTGTATTGACACCTATAAGCAGTATATTAGCACCAATTGGAAGTAGGAAGCCCGCGATCAGGAGATTGAAAAGACTAAAATGAAGTGAAGAGAGAAGAAAACTAAAAGCAATCAAAATGACAGCAGGACTAAAGGAACAATCAAGTTTGTCAGAAACAATTCAAAGAAGTGCAAATGATGTTCTAAATGTATAGTTTTCACATTTTACTAAATCACAGAGCAATCACACTAATATTGGTACCAGCAAAAGGTTTCAACAGAGTGTTACTGAACCGGATGAAAGATTCGGTAGACGTCCAAACTAAGTTCTATCTAAGGAGGAAATTGGGAAAAGTCGTTTGGAGTATCTTCAAACTACATTATGAGGCGAGCGCTTGCCTGGAATCCTGAAGGGACACAGAAAAGAGGAAGACTGAAGGATGAATACGGACTGGGAAGGATTGCCCAAGATAAAGTTGGATGGAGAATGCTGGTGAACAGTCTATTCATTAAACAATAAATCGGTCATCCCACTAAGTCTTCGTTCACTACATGTCAATCAGCATCAAATGTCGTGGTAGGCAGGAGCTGGGCATGCATAACATATTTCAGCATCTTAGTCAATCAATTTTTCCAGTAATAATCTAACATCAGCATTAATTATCTGATTTTTAAACCAAACGTGAATAATACTTTCAAGTCCTCTGTCATCAAATATTTACCACTTTTGATTTCACTGATTGAAATCACGAGTCAATTGAAGCTAGACGACCATGAAAAAGCCGGAAGCACTGGACGGTCGTTTCGTCCCAGTATGGGACTCCTCAGCAGTGCGCATCCACGATCCTGTCCAGTGCTTCCAGGTTTTTCATGCTGGTCTAGCTTTAATTGACTCATGATTTCAATCTGTGAAAGTACTATATTGATTATTAAATTCTAAATTAGATTGTATCAATTTTATTACTTGTTAATTATTGACTATCTTATCTATTCTAGTGATCAATTCTATAAAAGTACAATCTAAAAAGTTTCCTTTTTCCGCATCCCAACAATTAAAACCAACCAATAGAAAATCTGTTCAATGTTCTACATCATCATCGTCATCATCATTAACATTACCCCAAAACAATACAAAACATATTAAAACTTTAATGAATCCATTTTCTCCTTCCAGAATAAACAACAAAACTATTTCAACAAATAAGAATCAAGATCCTTTGAAATTAGTACGTAATCCTTCTAAACATTGTTTTACCACTAAAACTGTAAATCATTCACTTGATTCAAATTCATCATCAAATTTACAAAAGATAAAGAAAAATAATGCAATAAAGTCTAAAGATTTTTCTAAGTAGGATTGAATGAATCAGTCAAAGAAAAATGATGATGGAATAAATTGTCAATGGATCTTAGAAATTGATTTCGTCACTTAAATGATCATTCTGTTTACTTCAAACAAATTCAATATATTTTTCCTTCTAGTACATCAGATTTCTTTGATATTATGATAATTTCAAATAGTTGAAATCATGAGTCAATTGAAGCTAGACTAATATGGAAACATCTGGAAGCATTGGATAATGAGAGGCTAATAGGTCATAGTGTAGTGAACAAGAACACAGGTGGGGACAATCGAATGTATTTAACACAAAATTACAGAGCATCTCAATAAAATCTGAGAACCATATATGTTAAATCGTTAATTTGCAAAATCTCCACCAATTGTTTCTAAATGCTTCAGACTTCATTGTCCCTGCATTTTCATACAAATTACATTCTGTTCCCGCTCTTGCTTTCTTGATCTTCCCCCAACTTCTGCTGCCAGACATTACATTCCTGACTCGCGTTATATACTACTTATATCAATATAAATAGCACGCACCACAATAGGTTCGAATCTTGCAAGGCGAAATCGTGGGTGCGCACTGCTGAATAGTAGTCCCACAATAGGACGAAATGGTCGTCCAGTGCTTCCACATTTTTCATATTAGTCTAGCTTCAATTGACTCATGATTTCAATTATTGAAATTACAATAAGATTTTTTGATTGAAATAAATTCACTGTCCTATTTCAAAGCTTTCTGTTAGGTCCCGATAAACATAATGAATGGTAACTTTGGGATCCTTTTATGGACCAATACTAAATGTATATTTTTATCGTTTAATTATTAAATAACAAAACCATTCATATTCATGTCCTTCTTATTACAAGCTTTATTTTGACCTATTAACCATTATTATGCGTTTGTCTATTAGTTACTGCCTCCCGCATTCACAGCCACATTTGGCCAAATTTTGTACAAATGTTATTTTCTATTTTATGGTACTTTGTGGTCGGTTTGATTGGTATATAAACTCAGTATGTTTGAAATATGATGATTCATATCGCAGAGGCTTGGATTGATGTTCAAAATTTAACTGGCTGGGCTAGGCGGAAAGCAGGGCCTATCAAGACACTAGGCTGCTTATACGGGTTTACGCGTCCTTGATCCGATCGATAAATCACTGCTCTCTAATCGGCGGTCACAAGTTATAACACTTTCTCTTATCATTTTCAAATAACTTAAAATTATAAATAGTCGTATGTTTCTAAACAAAGTTTTGATATTAATTAATCCTTGATATTCTTGACGTATTATTGTGAGAATTTGTATATGATGCAGTTCAGATATGCCAATGTAGTTAAATTGTTATCATCGATAATATTAGATGGTCGTTATTACTGTATTACAAATTAATTGAAATTGATAGTGTACTATTGACAGCTGACTGAGTGCTTTTATTGATGAAACCGTAAGGTCGTGATTTCGACCCATGATGAAATTGTGGGTGCCTACTTCTAGATAATCCCATAACAAGTCGAAACAGAGGTTCCTGGTCGTCAATAATACCCAGCGAAGATCAATCTGCTGCGAATGCAACCTACAAATTCATAATTTAATTTGTTTTTTCGCATTGTCTCGTTGTTGCTATTTTTGATTGAATTTTGATCGATCTTAGTCCCTGTGCGGCTTGCCTTGATATAACCATTATGTCTCAAGCCTTTGTACAGTAAAATGGAGTTTGGTTTGGGATGTTCTGGGTTTAAACCATTAAGTAAATATCAACTCTGAACTTAGGGTACATCCAATTAACAAGCTCCAAATACGAATTGCACTGCTAGCCACATCCCATCTATCCTTCAAATTCATGTCACTTCAGCTGATGTTGAATGGTCCTGGTATCTGACTTCATTTGGATCGTATGAATGATTGTTATCAAAATAAACATGTCGCCAATATTCACATACATTTATAAACCTAACTCGTGTTAATGAATAACGGAATGAAATAATCCAAATACGAGAATGGATTTTGTATACGTATATTTCGTACAATCGTTAATCGGAAACCGAAGCAAAATGAAAGGACTCGCATTGGAGAAGTTGAGTGAACCAACTCAATTTAACCAAGCATGTATCAATATTTATAGTTGAACAAATGGATGAATCTCGCACCAAAATCCGAAATGTGTTATCCTAAATCTGATTGGTTCGTCTATTAATTGTAGTCTCGCCGAGGACTTAATGTTTATTCTATGTATGTAAATATATGTTCTCAAAATTCCTTTCTATAAAACAATGAGTTATTTTATTTTAAATAGTTATTTCACAATGCAGCTATAAAAGTACTCGTAAAATAAGTTACAAATACTTGCCAAAAGAAGAAATCCGTAGAGAATTACATATATCCTAATTTCATAGACTCAGTCAGTCAGCTACAACGTAGGACCAGGCACATTTATGCATCGGTCCAACTTGCCATACCTCATTAACACAATAAGATGAACATCGGATTCATAAAAGTAGTTAATTCAGAGGCGGTAATATATAAGAGAAAGATGCATATAAGGATATAGTACAAGAAGAAAAATTAGTTCGTAGAAATAAAGATATGAAGTGATTTTAATCTCTTAGTTGCCCACACTGTGGAAGGGTTCTTCTGGAGATACCTGAAAAGGAAATTGGATTAGGAGTGGTCTTAGTGACTTGAGAGCGTGACCGGAGTGCCCAAGGGACAACTGCTTGAGGTTGGTCACACACGACCTTTTTATGAGTAATTTTTGTGCTAGCTCTGCACTTGTTGAGACCTTACCGCCGGAGACGGATATCCGTGGGATAAGGCGAGATGTGCATTTTTAGGGTAGACCCTTTCTAACCCCACCCCTCCTTGTGGGAAGGCAGCATCGCTGCTATGCTGGTTGTCTGAAGGAAACACCTTACTGTTGCCACACCTCTGTACAGTCAGCAGTACGACTTCGCCTTCGGACTTTGAGTTTGTTGTTTTTAGTCTTACCGCTCTTCAACCGACCTGTCTGACATGGTAGGACGTTGAGGAACGGTTGTTCCAGCCAGTGTAGCTCGGTTGCTTCATCAAGATAGGCAAGCCCGACCACCACGTCAAGGTAGTAACAACGGTCGGGTATAGATTATATATTTGATTTTTGACAATTGAGCATTTTTCTCAAGCTTTCCAAGTTGAAGTACTTTCTCAGTTTTTTTTGAAAAATGAAATTTTCAACACTTTAATTATGATTATGTAACAAATTGTTTGTACATCTGTGCGTTGCAACAATTTATATCACTTATCATATTGTTAACATGGTTTCCATTATTCATTTTTCATTTCAATCTGGGATGCCATTCCAATTGTACAAAAAGACAGTAACTATCCGAGACTAGTTCCTTAGTAGTGGTCAGATACAACTCCTTTCTATTAAGCTATTAATTTTCGTTAAAATATAATTCATTATTATATTAGCTGTTCCCATTTTCTCTGTGAACATAGACGTTTGTCATTTTGTTGGAGGCTGTCGACTGAAAGCTCATTAATTAGGTTACTTACTAGTTGAGACAATTCATCTTTAAAAATAAATTCGCTGAAAAGAGAACTCTTCACTGAACTAATCTTTCTTATTTAACATATTAAAACACTCAAGATTGACAAGCGAATAATTAAAAACATCAAAATGCCAAGACTGTATTTCGACAAATAGGTGAACAAATTTCGCGCCAAAATCTGAAACCTGTTATCCTAAATCAGATTGGTTCGTTCATAAATTATAGTCTTGCTGAATAAATAATTTAGCCTGTTCGGAAGTTAGAATAGGCTATGTGAGTCTAACATAGCACTACGATAACACTACAAAAAACCTCCACTTGATCTCTATAAGGCTCTATTATTTTGAATACATAATTTTCATTTTGCAACACAATGAAACACAACATTTTTTCGATCAAATAAACAACAAAATTATATACTATAAAAAGTGTAGTGGCTGGTCATAAGCCGAGCCCACATAGCTTATTCTAGCTTCCGAACAAGACAGTTTATCCATTCTTCTCAGGCTACATCATGACGTTGTTATTATTATTCACCTATCAACTCGGACTTTTTATATGAACGTCTCTGTGTATACATCCTATCTTACTCATCGCATGTCTGTAGATTATTTTTGTGTGACTATAAATATTGATTAAATCGAGTTGGCTCATACAACTTCTCCACTGTGCACCATCTTGTTTCACTTTCTCTTCTCCTTAACTACGTCTCTGATTATCTGTTCCGATCAATAACTGTACAATATATATGTATTATAAAATTCATTCTCCTATTTGACTTATTGAATTCTATTATTCACTAATGCGATCTAAGTCGATCATTATATACAAGGATTGAAAACAGCAAACATTCATACAATCTAATTGTAGTCAGATCTCGAGCCACTTTAGGAAGAAAAAACAAAAAGGAAATAAGATTAATCACCTGGTATTTTTGCTTATATCTTCCCATTGAGGTTTAAGACTGCAATTGATCAGTCTGTAGCTGAGTGGATAACGCGATGGAATTTGAAGCGAATGGTACTGAGTTCCGGTCCCAGAGTGAACATCAACTCTGAGATGTAGGTACATCAAGCTGACGAGTCCCAAATAGAATGAAACGCGCGTCCTGGATTCCACTGCTAGCCACTATCCATCTTTGCTTGGAAATAAGATTAATTCAGTTAAAAAGGAAATAATACCATTAATAATTTTGATAAAATATTACATTTAATTGGAATAAAATTAAAATAAACCAATGTAGCGTGACAATAGATTATTAGTTAAGAGTAAATATAGTTCTTATCAAAGTTACCCCAGAAAATAATAATTATGATCTTACTAGAGATTTTATTTCTTTTCTTTTCTTTTTATCTAATTCAAGTAGTTGAATGAAGTAGAAATGATCAATTTAGAAATTGTCTAAGGTAAAATTATAAAAAAATGAATTTATTCTTAGACTATATATAGTTTTAATGAATATATTAGATAATATTAAGCAAGACTGCATGGAGGACAGTTAACAAACTCGTTTGAAGTAAAGATCGATGTCAGACAAGGTTGCTTACTTTCACCCTTTCTGTTCCTGCTTGTGATCGACTGGATCAACATCTGAAGGGAAGCATAGGATACAGTGGACATCTATGATGCAGTTGGACGATATAGACTTCGCAGATTATTTGGCTCTTCTATCGCACACTCAACAACAGATGCAGGAGAAGACGACCAGTGTAGCAGCATCCTCAGTAGCAGTAGGTCTCTATACACAAAGAGAAAAGCAAGATTCTCCGATACAACACAGCATGCAACAATCGAATTACACTTGACGCAGAAGCTGTGGACATTTACATGACTGGGCAGCATCATTGATAAACACGGTGGGTCTGATGCACATGTGAAGGCACGGATCGGTAAAGCAAGAACAGCATATCTGCAACTGAAGAACATCTGCAAATCAAAACAACTGTCTGTCGACCAACATCAAAGTCAGGATTTTCAATACAAATGTCAACACAGTTCTACTGTATGGGACGAAAACTTGGAGAACCACGAAAGGCATCATCCGCAAAATACAAGTGTTTATTAACAGTTGTCTACGCAAAATACTTCGGATCTGTTGGCCGGACAGTATTAGCAACAACGTACTGTTGTAGAGAACAAACCAGATCCCAGCTGAGGAGGTAATCAGTAAGAAGCGCTGAGAGTAGATAGGACACACAATGAGGAAGGTATCTAACTGAGTTACAAGACAAGTCTTCACTTGGAATCCTCAAGGAAAAAGGAGGAGAGGAAGACAAAAGAACACATTACGCCGAGAAATGGAGATAGAAATGGGAAAAATGAACAAGAATTGGATGGAACTAGAAAGGAAGGTCCAGGACAGAGTGTGTTGGAGAATGCTGGCCGGCGGCCCATGCTCCGTTGTGAGTAACAGGCGTAAGTAAGTAATTAAGTAAGAATAATTATTTAGGTTTATTAAATGTCACTGTAAATTGATAATGAATGATTCATGAAATTTTAATAGTTGAAATCAGGAGTAGTTAATTGAAGTTAGATCATTATGAAAAACCTGAAAGCATTAAATGACCGTTTCGTTGTATTGTAAGACTTCTTAGCAGTGCACATCCAAGATCCCGCATCGAGGGATTCTAATCTAGGATTTATCAGTCTCGCGCGCGCAAATGCTTAACTTGTAGACCATTGAGATGGCCAACTTCCAACGGTGTTAATGTCTAACTTCAAATAATCCATGAAATTGAGCGATACATCCAACATTGTCTTTAGTGAGTTACAACTTTACAACTGACCCGGTTGAACTCCACTGATCACTACTTCTCACTAGAACTCCAGGATATACCTCTTGAAGTCAGTTAGTAGTGAGCATAGGTTGATTAGTATCAGAAGGGGTTTTGTGGAGATTGTAGTAATTTCAACAGTTGAGATCATCAGTCAATTGAAGCTATTCTTATTATTAACTTCGTATAAATAGCTTATTTAGTATCACATCAAAGTCACATGTAATAAAATGATAATTTCAACTCTTAAAATCAAGTTTATCATAAACTTGATCAAGAACTGACTTCATTTTCTAGAGAAGGGTATTCCATTGACTGGGAATATGACTTTATTTTGTAATGGTAAAGGATGTATA